TGTAAATAAAATGGCTCCGTCCGTGTTAAAATATATTTTTAAAAATTTACAAAACTAAACAGCCTACAGTATTTTTACAGTCTTTATTTTACAGTTGAAATTAATGTTTATCAAATAAAGTCTAATGTTACAACTAATACTGGATCCCTTTAAAGAAATCAAATGGATTTTTTCTGAATATTTAGAAAACTTACTATACTTTAAAGAAGGGGAAACATACCCAATCCACTTTAATTTATTTAAATTCAAGACATCTTTATTTAAAAACAAGTCAACACCAACTATAGAAGTTGTGAAAGTGATGAAATTTACCTTGAAAAACGTGTCATTAAACCAAGATTTCCAGCTTAATTTAAATACACACACTTGGCACCAAAAAAAGGAAATTAGTGTTTGGTAGATTATTTCTTTGTTGTAACGATGCTTCTGGGCAATAAGTCTTATACCGGGTACCTGATGGGCAGCACCTACAGACAATCAAGACAGACAACCATTCACTCTCTCACACCTAGGGACAAATTAGAGTAACCAATTAGTTGTCATGTTTTTGGTGTGTGGGAGGAAGCCGGAGTGTCCAGAGAGAACCCACACATGAACGGAGAGAACATGCAAACTCTACCCAGAAAGGTACCCAGGCCGGGATTTGATCCGGCGACCTTCTTGCTGAGAGGCATCAGCAGCTCTACCAACTGAGTCACCGTGCTGCCCTAAAGGACATCTTGTATCAGAAATTTAAATTTGATACTTAAGTACAGTAAATGTAAGACTTTTACTCAAGTAATATTCTTAGAGGAAACTTTATCTTTTACAAAAGCAATTTTATCGTAAAATACTTGTACTTATACTCAAATATCACTTTGAGGTACATTATACAATATTGTTTGTGTGTGTTTGTCTGTGTTAACATAATATTTAATGAACCACTGCACTAATTTTAGTGAAACTCTCAGAAAGTAATCAGTGGATGTCCATCTACAACAGCTGCCATAGGCATCACTCCTAGCCAACAAAAAACAGAAAAATGGCTATGGCTTAGTCAGTTTTACCAATACTGAGGTCAAATCTGATGTGGTAGTTGCTGAGATTCATCCTCAATACATACTCTTGAGCATATCTCACATGATCTTGCAATATTGTATGAGATGATGCACAGCAGTATTTATAAGGCTGTATCAAAGCAGCTATAATTCTGTCCCTCCTTTTCATAAGATGATCGTTAAAACTCTGGGATAAAAGATGAAGAATGATGTGCATTCCTGCAAAGAATGCTGGTCCTTTAATTTATACATGTGATTATCTAGGCCACCTTGTAGCCATGTCAGTATTGTATCCCCCCCACCTGTGACTCTATGAGGAACGTGCCCACCCATCCCTTCAGTCACTCTTCCTGTGTCGACTTTTTTTTTATCCCCTCATTGAATTTATAAGTCATTTAGGAGCAGGAAGCAGCTTTTTGTATCCAGCTCTGTGTAATGTTATGTCTGCCTGCTGTCATTGGCTGTCGTAAAGCTGGGAATTACAGCAGCCTTGTCAAGGACATATCAGGTTTAAGCCTCACCTTTCCGAGACAAATTTATTTTAGAGGCCCCTCACTTTGGATGGGTCTTTGCTCAAGATTAGAGTGTTTCACAGTGTTTTCAAAGAGGAGCTTTATAGATTCACAAAGGGCCACGCCGATGTGTTCCCAAGCGCTTGTATGATTACATTTTAAATATTATCATTTACTGAACTAAAACCATGCATGTGTATGTTGGCCTTGTAATGGACTGCTAATCTGTACAGGGAACCAGACTTGTTTTTTTCCTTCCAATTGTTAGCATACATTTTATAAACTTAGAAACATTTTGTTCCTCCAGACTGAAGAGCTCACACATCCAAACCCTCACTGACTTCCAGCTCAAACTTTTCTCTTCAAAACTGGAAGTGAAGGATATTTTGAACTAGTCTTCTTCATAAAATAACGTAGAAACTTTATGGTTCAAGATATTTTTTTCTCCAACATGGCTTTGAACAATAATTGTTAGTTTGAAGCTTACATTTGTTCTGGGTTTCTGCCTGCTGTCAGGGAGTGACAGTCACAGATGTATGGTTACATTTCAAAAACAGTTCTTAACATTGGCCTTTTGTCAACTTACATCATAATAATCCTAAAATTACTTTTAAGCTTTATGAAAGAAAATTGACGGATATTAAAGTTTCAGACAATCTTTAAGATTTCTTCAAAAGTTTTCTTGTTGTTACTGTTTAAAGAAAACCCAAACAAACCATATGTTTTATTGACAATGTAAAATGTATATATTCTTTAGCCAACATGAACAAAGGGATACATACATGTTAAAAAGTTAAACTAAACCTGACTTACCGCTCAACATCCCAGATGCGAAGAGGGGAGAAGTTCTCACAGCATGCAGTACCAGTCACAAACGAGCTGTACACAGACAGAAAATAAAGGACATAAACCCAGTATAATCATGAAGCTACAAAACAAAGTCTTCTGGTTTCCTAATTACAATGCAACATACAATCTGAAATATGAACATCCTGCTTCAAATAACATTAAAGCCTAAATTTAATTTAATCAGAAGCTTACATCTACTTATTAGGGGGCAAAATATTATGTAAAATTTGGGGTTTTTAACAATATCTTTAAAAGGCCAAAGAGTTTAAGTTTGAATAAGTTTAAATTTATTGTGACTATTCACAAATCCACACAGGTTCAGAATTATACATACAGGGACAATTATTAACATGCATTTGCCTAAATCCTTTAAAAATTGGCACTGATCTGCTTAAGTTATATTTTAATGTCTTTTAACGTGATAAAATTAACTTTGTTTATGGTAAATATGATTGACTGCAGCTGCTTCAAATCAATCATTAAAACCCACTAAATAATGTAACATTCAGCCCTTGAGGAGTTTATATAAACATCTCACCATATTTTGAATTTCAAGGGTTCAAAACAAATCTATTAAAAACATTTTTGCCCAATTACAATTTATATTAGGCTGTCAAATGATTATTTTTAATATGATTAATCCCAAAGTAGCTGTGAATTAATTATGATTAATCTTAAATTTAATATACATTTCTATTGCGTATTGACAAAATGAATTACTTGAGTTATTAATTAGTTTTTAATGTTTTTATTTAGAAAACGAAATTGATGCTTAGACATGATTTTTTGAATATAAAACAGGACCTAAAAAATGCCCCAAACATATTTGAGCCAGTTAAATTTTGWGCAGAATAATGAGGTTAAATCAAGAATTCAAGGATTTTCATTCCAAATGAGCACTACATGAGGAATGAAAGATATACTAAGGTCACAGTTGTCAGCAAAACATAAATAAATAAAATAAAATAAGCCATTAGAAGACAAAAAGAAAAAACTGTACATAATGTGTTACACGTGGAGTTTTTATTTTATTTTACTTCTCATTTACAAACATGACCTGGCATGCACTGAGTACATTGCAATATACAAACCTACATATTCAGCCATAGTAAAGTGATTTTAAATTTTAATCGTGATTAATAGCGATTAAAATTTTTAATCTATGCCCATGCAGCACTAAAGTTAATCAGAGTTAACTCGATTAATTTCACAGCCCTAATTAGAATAGACTTTTATTGTCATTGCAACAAAGTACAACAAAATCTAGGTTTGCTTTCAAGAGTGAAAAAGTAAAACAGTCAAAACGGTATAACATACTGTATATAGTATATATACATACAATATATTTACACACACTAGAATGAGGTATAGACAACTTAAAAGTCAGATTATTGCCCAGTTTCTAAAATATTATTTTTAATCAAAGAATAATAGATTTTTTTTATCTTGTTTCATTTAACATTTCATGCAGCAACAGACAATCTTTAACAAAATCAAAATATATGAACAAGAGATCAGATGGAAATATAAAACATGTTTAGGTTTAGTTACATCAGCTTCTATTGCTGTCTTGTAGAGACTGCATTGTGAATTTTTAAATGAAAGCGGAAAAATGGGGTTACAGTAGCTCAGTGGTCAGTGCAGTGATCTTGTAATCCTAAGGTTTCTGAGTCGACTCCAGGTTGAGTTAGGAAGGGCATCCGGCACAATAAGATTGCAAAATCTTTTGTGGAGCAGCCGAAAGAAAAGCAACATAAAAGTGGAAAGATACGGAAAAAAGCCACTTTGCATCCAGCTAATATCACAGAACAAAATGTTGGAAGACAAATGTTCATTGCAAAAGATGATAATTAAATATTTATATTCAGTAAAGATGGGGAGAACCTGTACACTTCTGTCTCACAGGCGCGCTCACCCAGCACACACAAACACACATACCCTTGTCATAGCCTCTATTCATGACACATTGTTTTCTGGTAGAAGAAAAGAGAAGAAAAATACAACACTTGTGATCCTTTGATTGGAGTGGCAGTTTGGAATTAGCAGCCTAGGTATGCACAATGAATGAGATGCATGTGGAGCGGTGGTAGAGGGGTGAAAGGAGAGGGGAGGAGAGCTGTGAGACAGGACTGACGGGGTGTGTTTGGGTGTTAGAAGCTATGTAGAGGGTGGGGTGGTGACCAGGGGTGCTGGTGGTAGGGGAGCTTCTGTTGGGCTGGGCCTGATTCTCAGGACTTAGTGCCCTCCTACAGGGTTGACAGACAGGAGGGAAGTCCCACTTTTTCCACTTGGTAAGGTAGTTACTGACAAATGCTGCAGCCTGAAAGAATATACGGTCAATGGATGTGCAGAGAAAGGAAATAAAGACTCAACAAAAGGTTGCCACTCAATCGTATAAATGTTTAAATACATAACAAGTAATAACTACACCTCACATTCAAAGTTATACACAGTATGTAAAGTATGAAGATGACTCAACAGCTCAGAGAGCAAAATATACAAAAATGAGCTATAAAAACAAAAACTGAACAAAACAGTTGTAACTTTCTCTCTTAGACAACAATGCCAAGATTACAGTATATAATGTACAGTATGTGTAAGATGAGCAACCCATCATTGAATCTAAACCTTGTAGTGGTAGAGGCGTCTGCTTTCTCAAGAGATGCTATATTATTCTCTGGTAGAGTCTCTCAAAGGCAAATAGGTAAAGCAAACTTAGTTTCAATAATCCTTTCTAATTACATAAAAGAAGGTTTTCAGTTACGCACATGGACAAGAGATACCGGAGTCCTACTCAGGAGCCAGATTTGGAGAAGAGGCTTTTTGGTGCGAATATTTTAGTTTGGCCTTTATCCAACAGAGAATAGGGATTCTTTTGAGTAGATTTGGCACCAGAACGCAATGGATCAACGATTGATTTTATAATAAAGTTATAAGATCTTAGACTCTTGGATAAAGAAGGGAGCTGAGCCGCTAAGCGAACCCCACCTGGTGGTAAGTTAGACCAGTTAGCAAGGAAAAGTGCTGGATAGGCTTTATAACATCTAGAGATGGTATGCTGGGAACTCCTCGCAGAAACCCAACTTCAAGGGGTTTTCAGCTCCCACCTCCAGCAGAGCTCTTCTGGTATTCCATTAGAGGCAGGGGATGCTGAAGTGGACTGTGATCTGGGCTACAGCCACACAAAGCTGTGGATGTTAAGTGTTTGGTGCAAGTCATACTGATAGATACAAAATGCAGAGGTGGAGATCGAATGTAAAGGGAATGATTAGGAACTATCGTGCTTCTTTTTTCCAGAGTTCGACGAAGCATGTAGGACAGTAAAGGAAGACTGGAGCTCAAGCTGTTGCAAAACAAAACTCTAATGTATAGAAAAGCCATCTAGTGGGATTTTCAGTCTGTCTCAAATACAGTTGAGCAAATGATCAGAAATCTCAAGTGGTGGAAGTGTTATTTTCTCAACGCTGTCATGAAACACTCGACTAGTTCTTTACCCTTGCAAGCATATCGGAAGATTAATGAAAATCTGTCCAATCACTTGTGTGTTCTTTTGACATTTCACGGTTTAGAACCACCTCCATCATGTTTCTGATGGGGTGCAGTAGGAATATGGGGTATTGGATCCTGTCCAGTAAAGTCCCAGTTGCAGCTGCAGTCTATGAACAGTAAGAAGTTGACCAATAGATGAAACATTCGGTTAGTATCATGATGTGTGATGGTAACATGAATGCTGAACGTTGGGATGTTTGTGTGTGAGTTGAGGGAATGGGTCAGTGAGGTGGTAGAATGGCACAGGGGTGTGATGGAGGGGGTCAAGGACATCTAAGCAAGGCATTGAGGCGGCTGTCAGGCCCGTTAGGCAGAGCAGCCCATTGGCAGGCCCCCGTAATTAGTGTTGGGTAAACTCATTTAAGGCCCAAATGGGTCGGGCAGGGACAGGACCAGTATGTGCTGAGGATCACCTCTGACCCTGCTGACACAGGATACAATAGCGTTATGGTCACACTCGCTCTCTGGACCCTATTACTCTCCATTACTCACATTACTCACCCCTCACTTGGCTGCAGCACTGCTAGAGGAAGGCTGGGGGGGGGGACACCATCCATACAATAAAAGCAGGACTCCCCCTTTTTCTCTTCTAGCTTCCTTCTCACCCCTCTGAAGTGCCAACCAGGCCTGATCAGGGGTTGAAGTCTGCACTGATATTATAGCTGCTAAGGTCAGAGCCTCTCTCGCCTAATGTGGGACAGGTGCCCCCCCACCCCCACCCCACAAACGCGCACGCACATGCACAGAGTTGTATCTCTGACCAAACAGAGTCACCCTACTCCAACTCCACCGATGCCCTCCTCCCCCTCACTCCGCTGCTCATCATTAGCAGTGTGCTGAGTCTCTGCTGCAGTTTGGGTAACCTCGTCAGCTGGTTGTATTATCTAACGGTCTGCGTGACACAGAAATACAACCTACGTGAATCCTCTGTGAGAACCAGACACATATACAGACAAAAGCACAATCACAATCCACATAGAGAAATGCTTACACAAGTTTAAAAATATAATTTCGTCTGTACATTAGGGCTGGGCCATATCATATTCACGATGATACTGGTAAAAAATATTTGCCCGGGAAAATAAATTACCGTATTTATTCATGTAAAATACGATCTCATGTATAATACGACCCCCCTTTTTTGAGCTTAAAAAGCATAAAAAAATTTAATCCTCAAACTACCTCCAATTTCATACAGACTACAAGATTTTTCAGCCTTTGCAGTCTTTATACATATCAGTAAAATGATCATTGGACTGTTCATTTTATTTTAACAACATATGTACTAAAAGGTATTTTGACAACAAATATATATCAGCTGTAGCAGCATCATATAAATTCTGGCATTTTACACATAGTCCACCAGGACGTGCCAACACAAAAGTCAGAGGCTTCACATGAGATTTGGGCCATCTTCAAACAGATACAAGCAGATTACTTCCTACTCACGAGCGCCCCCTCTGGTGGGGGAAACTTTTTCA